GAGTTTTGTGGAGAGGGTGTTGGGAAGATATGAAATCGGGAAGTTACCACTGTGTTCAAACAACTAGCTTTGAATTAAAAACAAAAAATTCAAAACTTTAGAAATGATATGGCCTGGATGCAGTTTTATAAGAAGGTAATGTCTTGAGCTTTCAAAGACTGAGTCTGTAAGCCCTATATTTCAGTACAATGCATGGAAAAGTGATACATTTGAAATGAAGATAGATGCTTAGATGAATAGATGGGTAGACAGAAATATATGTATGTATGTATAGATAGATAGATAGATAGACAGATAGATAGACACATTGTTAGGATGTATATTAGAGGCAGAGGGATAATGGGGAACTTTTCTTCTTTGTGCAGGATTAGCTGGTCCTGTCTGTTGACTAAACAGAAAGCGATTAAAAAGGAGGGAATTTCCTGCCAGTGAAAGAGTAATTTGTGGTGTCTCTCTGTCTACGTGTTCCAGTGAAGCTGGACTAGATTGGCAACTACTGCAAAGAAAAAGGTGAAAGCAATTAGCCAAAAGTCAAAGAAAGAAGTTATTTTCTTAGGGAAAGCAAAAATTTTGAAGCATTTATCCCTCTGTATGGGTGGTATGTAGTGAGTAAGGGGATAAAGGTGTTAGATCTAACTTGTGTCCCATCTCACAGACCTTTTCCAAAAGTTTCAGAGCTAAATTGGTAGCCTTTCCTGGTATTGTCAGTGAGTGGCAACGTGTATGTGTGCGCTCACATAAAAGAGAGAGGAATAGAGACAGAGACAGAGAGAGATAAGAAAAAAGGGACCCAGGGCAGCCTGCTTTCCCACAACTTGGCAAGGACACAGGAGTTTTCTCTGGGTAGAAAGGATACTTTGAAAGCAGCAGAGCTTAAGGCCCTTTGGGAGTCCCCTAAATGAGCAGCCATATACCCAAGCAAGGGAATTTAGGCAGAAAATTAAGCAGATCTTCTGTGACATGGAGAGACAGAGGAATCATTTCTTTCCAGGGTCACCAATGCTGGGCATCTACTCCAAGAGCAGCTTCCATGAACCCTCAAATAACCCTAATATGTGTCCCACAAGATTCTAGTATTTTTTTTGCCAGGAGCTTAGATGAGAAATTGGAAAGGGGGGAGGAGATAGAGAAGCAGATAACAAGCTTGCCAACTGGGTAGTATTCTCAAGAGCAGTCATTGTGTTTCACAGGAAGAGGGGAAAGTATTCAGGACTGTTCCCTCCATTTGCCATCTCAGCGCACACACACACACACACACACACACACACACATGCACACACACTTCTGCTGGTAAGTCTTCCAAAAGTTCTGGTAGTGAACAATTGGAGTGCAAAAGATAATAGTAATACCTAGAGCTGACTAAATAACTGCCCAAAATGAGACCACTTTAAGCGAGAAGGAAATAGTTTGGGATTGATATTTATCAGAATAGACTGATATCCAGTCAGTTACTGTTCTTCTCCACTCTCTTCCCAGGTAGTTTTCAGAGAGTGGAAGCAAAAAAGAAGTATATAACTTGTTACTAATAAATAAATAAGTAAAATCTTTCCTGTATATTACATCACAGAATTGACTCTCCCACTCGTTGCTACTAAGCCTAAAATTCTGCCACCAAAGATTCATTTCCTTCAGGTTGTAAAAATGGCTAAAACCTGTCTTGTCTCCCCTACCAGGTTTGTTGAGAAGATTGAAAACAATGCATGTGATTACCATTTTAAGTTGTAAAATAATTGTATCACTATCAAACATTAATGAAAATGTTAATAGAAATAAATTATAATCTGTAACTATCAATTAAACCCTGACATCTGGCTTAAAAGATAGATGCCTTATGCAGATTTCTATAAGATACTTTCCTTTCTGTTTCACCTACTCTGTTTCTAACCCCTTTGACTAATGCGAACTAAGGGGGAAGACCCAAAGAGCCAGAGGAAGAGAAGAAAAAATAAAGTTGATCAAGAGTGGATTATAGGTGGAAGAACGTTTCAAGGACTATGTGGTGGATAACAAAAGAATAACTCAGTTTAAAGCCAAAACACAACAAACAGAAACAATAAACTGTTAGCTCTCTTTCCATTTTAATCAATCCAGCAAGAAACAACTCTTATTACCTGACTGCCTAGAGCTATGATCCTTGCAGAAGCCAGTTTGCTCACCTGTATTGGGTATGTTTGAGGGGCCCTTAAACTTCTCCTTTGCATTATATGTTTGTTTTCTGAGTGCTAGGCACCCTTTTAAGAACTTTACATGTGCTGTATTATTTTAATACCTACAACAAGTAGGTACGATTAATTTTCCACCTTTAGGGAGGAGAAACTGAGTCATGGAGAGATTAAATAACTTGCTTGTCACATAGCTGTAAGTTGTAGAGGTAAGAAAGATTCAAACTTAAGAAGTCTGGCTTCAGGCCATGCATGCTCTTAATTACTAACTTAAACTGGTAACTTTTGGGGTCCACCCTCCTGTTTTGGGGCAGAGACATTTGTAAATCATCCTATTTAGGTGATAATCTGATTGCTTCTAAAATGGAAATTTGTGTCTACTCTTGCTTAGTTATTTACACACACACACAGACACACACACATATACACTCATGCATTGACAACTTGCCAACTTCTTTTAATTTGGGGAAAGATGACTAGGTCTTTTGGTGCTTAATCCTTCTGTGCTCATGAGTTATGTGTCTTTTACCCCTGGATTTATTTTATCTTGAAAAATGGCACAACTTAATGATTCTGATAGCCATCCACTGAGAGCACTGAAGTAAGAATTATTCTGTCCAAGGCTACCATTTATTAGCTCTGTGTGTCCTTGGTCTTGTGTAAATATTTTGAGTTTCAATTTCTTTTTCCTTAAGAAAAAGTAATTCTACCCACCTCTCAGGTGGCATGAAGATTGTATAAGATGCTGTACGTAAACTCTAAAGACCTTTGTAAATGGATGGTGCTACGGGTAACTAACTTGTCTTCTATTTTCTGTATCATCTCTTCATCTCTCCTTGAAAAATGAGATTTCCCTTGGTCTTCCATCCCCTGCCAATTCTCTAGAGTTTAAGTAGATAACCCAAGTTTCTCATATAGCAACTTCATCAGAGAAGTAAGAAATATGTGTTTGAAAGTGGAGAAAAATGAGGCCAAAGAGTCACACAGGGGAATTGGAACCAGAAGCAGTTCTAACTCACAGTCTAAATCCATTTTCTTGAGATTACAGTGTTCACTTTTTCTCACCCGTGCTTTTTCTCTCATTTCATCACACAGTATTTTCACCTCTTTTCAGAGCTAAGGAATGAAAAAATGAAAACGAAAATTCATTCAAATCTCAATTCAGCAGGGTCTTTTTTCATCAATTTTCAGGTTCCTAGTTCTGTGTATATATACGGGATATAAACTGGCAGCAATTTAAATTTCTACAGGACTGCATAGTTATGTGTCTTTATGTACTTTGTTATATGTTTTACAACACTCGTGTTCAGTATTCAATATGATTCCTCTCAGTAACTTGTTTAAAGATATATCAAGTAGTGGAATCATTCCTGTTTTACAGATAAGGATACAGAAGCTCAAGGAAATTGGACAGGAAAAACTGCTGGCTAAGGATTCACAGTTGGTTAAAGGAAGAGAGGGAGTGAAAGGAAAAAGGATCCTTTAATCTTTAATCTTCTAAATCAGAATGCAACTCCCATTTCACCTCAAGTGTTACTATTTACTGCTTGATAAGAAGGATTCAACTAAGAGTGTCCAAATTTCGATCAGAGAATTTATAACACATGAAACCCAACAGCTTGTTTATTGCTTGTTTATTGCACTGGAGTCCGTAGCACTCAAATGGTCAGTCATTTCTGACCCTGGCTAGGACTTTGAAGGCCAATTTGAGATGGTATTCTAGTTGGTAAGTGGTACGTGTCGGGTCCTGCATCTGTTGGAAATACCCTGGGGAGAAGAGCATTCTGTAAAAAGGAAGTGATTTCCACTGTGTGGTGGTTAATGATCACACACACATACATTTGAACATTTACATATATTATTTTGTAATTAGCATATCTAATTGCTTTCTGACATGGGAATTCGCTTGCCTGTTTGCTCTGTGTCTCTGCTTAGTGCCATTATCAAATGTGTGGAATCCACCAGTCCCTGAAGACCTATGCCTATGGTGTGGGTCTCCCTTAACTCCCAAAGGGCTTATCGTATAAAAGAGATGATTTTAGGATTTCAGTATTATTTCTGACCTGGAAGAGATAGCTCATTCTATTTTGGTAATTTCTGGAGAGATTATAGATCATGATGATTACAGTGCATGGTAATAGTCAGAAAATAGAGTTTACAGTTAATGAGAATACATACCATGTTGGTATTACATAATCCTAAAAATCATCATTATTTTACATGGCAACAAACTACCATCATGCATTCTTTTGCTGGTACATACAAACAGTCCTCTAGCCCAGAATGCTCACAAAATAAGGTGCTTGTGGTACGGGCTAGGGTCAGTCACAAAGAACTCCATGGGGGTGATGAATTTTATGTAACTCTGAGAGAAAGAAAATATAGAGATTGAGATGTTAGAATATTTCCAGGGAAAGTTGCCTGATTGGCCTTCAAGAAATCTAATAGGCATACATTACCTTAGAAGTGGAAGTCCTATGAAATAGAAGTCTAAGTGTGATGGTTCATTCATGTGGCAACTTGACTGGGCCATGGGGTGCCCACAGAGCTGGTTAAACATTATCTCTGGCTGTGTCTGTGGGGGTGTTTCTGGAAGAGATTAGCATTTGAATTGGTGGGCTGAGGAAAGGAGATGACGATGGCCCTCCCCAATGTGGGTGGGTATTATCCCACCCACGGAGGGCCAGAATAGAACAAAAGGCAGGGGAAGGTTGAATTTGCTCTGTATCTGACTGCGTGAGCTGAAACATCAACTTCTCCTGTCCTCAGGGCTCCTGGTTCTCAGGCATTCAGACCTGGACTGCAGTCTACACCACTGGCTCTCCAGCAGTCTACACCACTGCAGTCTACACCACTGGCTCTCCAGCTGGCAGATGGCAGATCATGGGACTTTTCAGCCTCTATAATCATGTAAGGCAAAATGTTATAAGAAATCACTTTCAAATATAGATATAAGTAAACAGATATGAGATATCTATCTCTATATCTATCAGTCATTTATCTATTAATATATCTTTTATTGGCTCTGTTTCTCTAGAAACCCTGAGTAATACACTAATACACCAAAGTTCCTCAGCTTTGCAGGTACAGAAACTTGAACTTGTCAGTGAGCTGAGTTGGGTTATTCAGGGACACTGATTCGTGCTGAATAAATTCACAAGAGACTAAAGTATGTATATCAAAATGAAAATGGTCAATATTTTGATAAATAAGATTTCATCTCCTTATTAAAAAACAATAATCCGAGGCTAGCTTGATGAGTATAGATTCATAATAAAAATTAGTTATAAGAGTGGACAATTTAATGTTACAACTATTTTCTGTGATATACTGTCTCTGAGGACCAGGATATTAGTTAATGAATTTAGAACCCTTCCTTTTAATCAGAGTTTGAGTCAGTATTCATAAAACGTGGCTAAGAATTTCTTTCCAAATGTGACACTTCAGATGTGCTCAACCTCTTTAGTTTGATTAGTATCAAGTCTTGATCTGGTCTGGGAATTTTTCTTTCCATTTAATTGTGTATCACTGCTATGATGCATCTTGTGTTGATTTTATAGTTTGTCTCTGAAAAGTTATACCTCTCTTTCTTAAAAAATAGTTTAGGGGCATGTCATCATTATCTCATTGCAATGCCCGTAAGTCTTTAAGAACAGTTGGAATCAACAGGAAGAGTTGGAAATGTTGAGACTGTTCCCATTATAATGTAAGCCTAATACTAAGCCTATGTAATGTAATAACAACATGGCACGAGTAAGGACTTACAGATAATAACGAACAGTGTGGTGAAGAGTTAAAGACTGGCCTGTTCTGAACAAGTAAAAATATAGTCAAGAGTTATGAGATCAATTGAACAGATGATGGAGTAAGATGGATTGGAGATAGATAGTTGCAGATTTAGAATGAAATACTGCGGTAAAATTCAGTCTGAAAGCAGAACCATTGTCAGCCCTACATAGGGAGGAATGGGGCACTCTCAGGTCAGTCACGGAGCATCCACTGATTGAGTGCCACTGTCTTTACCCTCTTCTGGGTCCTGAAGATGCAGAACTGAAAGACAGTAGGAACTGTATCCCCTACCATACAGTCTAGAGGGAAAGAAGACATTAACCATTTTTTTTTAAAAATCCATTTGACGTGTGACAAAGTGCTATAATATAGAAATTTAGAATTCCACAAGAAGGTATCACAGTGGAATTAAACAGAATCTGGTGGGAGGTGGGTGGGGGGAGACTGGGTTCTGAAGCAACTTTCTGGAGTAATAGAATGATAAATTCATTTGTTTATAATTATGAATCTACAATTACCAGCAGGGAATTAGAATACCTAAAAAGCAAAGTAAGATATTACTTTGCTTAAGTGGGATCAGGATCTGAGACTCTTTTCTTTCATTTTTATTTTTTAATATCATTAGCATAAGCCAGGGTCCTTGGCCCGAAAATTCTGAGACTCAGTGAATGTTCTGGGTGTTGGTGATACCTAGTCTCCCTGGGATCCCAAGCTATATCTAACTCAAGTGCGTTTACTCAATGTTAGCTCATGTTTCCTTGAAGTTAGGTATGGCCAGATGACCGAATCCTGTGCCTATCGCAAATTCCAAATGCCTGTTTTGAGAATTCTCTACTTTTGTAAGTTCAAGTGTGTGTCTCAGACAAGAATGTGGAAGACTGAACATTAATGAATTGTGCCTGGAAACAGAGTAAAATGGGGGCGGGGGGGGAGGGCGTTACACAGTAGGTGGGACCCGTGTCCTTGGTTCTCATTCATTCATTCTGTAAATTGCCATCTATACCAAAATGTGTAGCCAAGGTTGCAGTGGCCTCCAGAGAGAATGATGTTAACAGACCATTTTCTCTCTCTTCTCCTGCTGTTTGAAATGTCACCAGAGCCCTGAGAGTAATAGAGGACTTTAATGTACATTCAGGTGTATGATTCTTTCTATTATCGTTCTGATTATTATCATTATTCACATCCTGTTAGCTTTTCACCTTGAGCTAATGTGACATTTCAGTGCTATGGAAAATCAATGAGCCAAAAATTTCTCATGCTACAACAAACAATCACTGTTGATTTAAGTACAAAGACTAAATACCACATAGACAATATGGATAAAGAGATTAAAATGCACACACATACATACCATCCATTACTGAGAATCTTTTAAGTGGTTTTCAAAATTAGTGTTTTCTGCTGGGAAGAAAATATTCCCTTATTGAATGACCATAACCTGAACTGAAACTTGCTTTCAGCAAAATTAGCTATGTCTTCACTTCTGATAATGATACCAAACCTTGGATTTAATTAGACTCTAATTGCTGTTTTAAATTGTCTCCTGCCTCAGACTTTGCTTTCTTTGCCATCTAATTCTGGTTGTTTTTTTTTTTTTTTTTCCATTTTCTATATTTGTTCCTGTACTGAGATCACAATACATAACAAGTTAGTCACAAAATTTTAACAAACAAGATAGTCCTAGCAAGAATACATGATATTTTCCAAGAAGCTTCTCTACTAATGACTTTGCATGACAGAGAATGGCTAATTGTTTGCCAAGCACATTTTCAGTTTCTCCTGGGAAAGAGCTAGCTCATGTTTCCTTGAAGTTAGGTATGGCCAGATGACCAAATCCTGGCCAACGGAATGTGTATAGAAATGATCCTGGCTTAGAAAACCTTTCACTGGATCCTCCATTCTATTTCTTCCCTGTCTGCTGGCTGTAGGTGACCTTGAATGTCACATAGTTTCTAAGCCTTTGCTATGCTGGGTCTCTTCTCCCCACCCACCTGTTAGATGTTCATTGTGTGAGTGAGAAACAATTTTCTAATGGGTTAAACTGTAGAAATTCATGGTCCAGCTGTTTCAGCGGCTAGCATTACCTTATCTAAAACATTTGGTAATGTCTCCCATGAACCATTGGCTAATGTTTTACTTTCCCTCTGAACTGGCAGGGTATTCCAGAGAAACAGACCCATAGGATATATTTAGTAGGATATATATAATAAGATATACGTATTTATATATTATATAATGGTATATATATTTATATAGATTTAAATCTGTATAAAGAGATTTATTTCAAAGAATTAGCTTTCACAGTTATGGGGGCCCACAAGATTTAAATCCACAGGGCAGTCCTGCAGGCTGGAAACTCTGTCTTGAGGCAGAATTTCTTCTTTCTCAGAAAACCCGTTTTGCTCTTAAAGCCTTTCCACTGATTGGGTGAGACCTTCCCACATAATTGAGGCAATCTTTTTACTGAAAGTGTACTGATGTTAACTACATCTACAAGATACTTTCCCAGCAACAACTATATTAGTTTTTATAACTCTCGTTAGGATATCACATTAAGTTACCACGTCCTGGTGAAGAAAGCCCTCTTTACTTAAATCCAGAAGTTTAAACTCAGAAAATACGTAACAGCTTCTCGTTAATGCAATGGGAATGTCTAAATAGAAAGCTTTATTGAAAGTACATATTTTTTTTAATTAGAAAAAGCTCGTGCATACCAGGAGTCACTAAATAAAATATACAGTGCCCAGGCAGACACAAAAATAAGTAAATGTGTGGATAAAGTTGAGTCTAAGAAGGAGAATGGCGGAGGCTGTGAAAACTGGGGTAGGCTGTCGGATTCAAAAGGTTCACAACATTTTTGGAAAAAAACAAAACTGTCTGTGGTTTGGCTACAGCTACTTTGTAACCTCTAAATTGAGATACATCTTTTTTTCCCCCTAAAAATATTGAAACTATTAGAATCAGATGATTCCACTGGGATTGGTGACTCAGGAGATCCATTGCCATCTTCCTGGAAACATGAAAAATATGAAGAAATAGGAGATAGGCAGAGGCTCTTCTCCCCACAGAAGTCGTAATGCGGGTGGGGGATAAAATGCAGCGTGAGCTGGCGGTACATGGTTACATGTATGTGATTTCCATGGTCTCAGTCTTATGGATCATAGAAGGCAATGATTTCAAATCATGTAGCAAAAACAACAAACACTTTGTGTCTAGACAGTCACAGGATGAGTGAGACATCTCACGAGTGAGAGTGAGACATCCCGTCTTTACCTGGCTGCCTAGTCCCTTACTGGCTTTGTGATATTGAACAAATCACAAAACATTGTGAGCATCGTTTTCCTTACCTGTCAATTAAGGGGATTGGTTTCATTGATCACCAAAATGTCTCTCAGCTCTAATGTTTGTTGATTATGTGACGTGTCTCCTCTGAGGCACGGTGTGTGTTCCTACTTACTTCTAGTTGTAGCAAAGTATCTAAAAGTTATTTAGAACTTAGCCACCCTTGAAAAATACATGTCAAGAATAGTAATAGCATTTACTAATGTTTACCAAGAGCACGTAAGTCCTTGGCACTTTATATGTAGTATCATGCCATCATCACAATATCGAAATAAGGTACAGAAGATGTACATTAATTGCTGAGGTCATACAGATAAAAAGTGGCAGTGCAAGCACCTACACCCAGGCTTCACATCGCCAGGACTATTAACCACTATGCTGTGCCGTCCCAGCGGGCCCTCCCTCAGCCTTCACCCCGATTCCATGCCAGGATGTATATACAGGAAGCATTAATGCCTGCATTTCTCTCTATTCATCTCAGCTCCCTCTCCAAGAAGCAGTGTCCACGCACGCCAGCTTCTTATTGTGTCCACTGTCTCCTTATTTCCCTCCCCAGACCCTTGCACAATGTCCCATCTGCCTTTACCACAAGTCAATAATGACAGCCAGGATGCTTCCCACTTGCAAATTGCTTTTCACTTTGGCCATTTCTCAGCTGGCTGGTGTGAAGTTTGTAGTCTGTAAAAGCAGGGAAGGGGCAGCACATGGCTGGAAGCCAGAGTACAGGATGACATCTATTCTTCCCTTTTCCTGGGACATGTTTGCAATTGGTTACACAA